CAAAAAAAAACTTTGTTTAACCATTGTTTTCGACTTTTTTGGGGACGACTGCAATACGCAGGAGAATTGAAAACAATGGTTATGCAAAATTCTAGGGGGGGGGGGCGGGGGGGACAATGTGCATTATGGTCTACGTGAAAGTATAAATAAATTAAACGAAGTATTGTCTTTTGTCATGGAAAAATAAGGTGGCAAACGGTGCATGACTATGCTGTATAGCGCAGTTTAACGGAAAATGCGTTTTTTCTTCTTTTTTAAAAAATTCAGTATCTATAAACTAAAAGATAATAAAGTGTAACTAAAATTGATCCCTTTTTTTACCTTCATGGCGAAAGCGTGGTAATACAACAATTCAGAAAAAAGTGACAGCTGGGATGATTTCCGGTGTCGCGTAACTTTTACGTGTGTACGTGCGTAAAATTTACGTTCGCAAATCTTAGAGGCAATGCATGAGAGGTCGCTCGTAAGCGTAAAAGTTGAACCTTGCTTAACTTCTTGTTTAAGCTCAGCACTTTTTATCTTGCCTCTATTTTACTTACGTGATTAAAATTTACGTGGGTTAACATGCGCGTTTTTCGAAATGTGCCAACAAAAGGCGAAGTCAAGGTTTCCTTAGCATGCCTTTCAGTATCGACAGGAATGTAAAAATATGATTTAAAACAAGGCTAGAATAGACACTAAGAACACCTGGTATTGACGATAACATGTCAAGAAATGGGACGAGCAAAAGATAAACTTGAACTTGGCAAATAGTTATAGTCTTCCGGAGAAACATCAATAAACAAAATAAGAACTGTGCTAGTTGCAGGTGTTCCTCTGTATTATAAAATTTCAAATGAATCAATAATTAGTTGAAAGTACTAAAGGATATAGCCCAAAAACGGCAGAAGAACTTTCCATTAACAGGTCCCTCGACCCCTCAAATCGTGGTTAAAAGACAGATTCTGAGAAGAACAGGAAAATGAACATAACGGACAGCCGAGGTAACTCTTATTCCTTTTTGAAAAATGCCTTTGCTTGATATGTTTTTCTCAAGCGGCTTTGTCAGTCGCTTTATTCACAAGGCAGAACGGCTTTTCATAGTTGAAACTTTACAAGTGTTACAAGATTTTCTGAAAACCTCGTTCAAAATTTCTTAACGTATTTAACTTAACGAGAAGTACGTATCTCGCAAAACCCTTGTGAAAGTCGGTGCGGCACATAAGTTACGTCGGTTAGAAACTGGTTGGGTGACCATTCGGGAATGCCTTTGAGCAACAACAATTTGTCGTCTGTCCTCTTTGAATTGAGGGCTCCTACTTTTTCATTGTACCATTTCATTCTTAAATGCGTAATTCAAAGTATATTTTGTATCATTTCGGCCGCCGGATGGAAATAAAAAGGCAAGTCAACATGCAACCACTCTCGAGTTCAAAGGGTGATCGCTTTACGTACCGAGCTGAAACCAGTCTTTGCTCCATCGGTTGGGAAAGAACCAATTCAATGCGCATTTGCCTCAGTGTAACATGAAATTAAAGGTGGATTTCAGGACTGAGCAAGGCCTAAAACGAAGTAACGAGCTTGAATTATTCAGGCGACTTGAGAAGCTAAAATCGACAAAACGAAACACAAAAAGTGGAGGGGATCCTCCGAACAGTTTGCCAGAAATGTCATCGGGAAAAACTGGGTAACAAATCCAAGAAGACCATCACTTTAACAAATCAACGAAATCTACAGTGAAATTCGTCAGAACATCTCCTCTTCCCATTATCTATGTATTGTTAACGATGGCGTTGCTACGTAAAAAAACCTATCAGAATATGACAGAGGAAAATTCACAAAAAATTGCACAGTTACTGTGTAGGAATAGAATTATCGACACCGGTTCTTATAGAAGGTGAAGGCTTTTTTTAATATGGTGTTTATCAAAAGACAGTTTAAACCTGAGTTTTGATATACTATACTATACGGGTGGTACTCCTGGGAATTCTTGGTGGGGGTGTGCAGCCCGGTTCTTCAAATCCTGACCCGATTTCAGACCAAAAAATGTAATTTTCCACACCCATTTTCAGACTAGAAGTCTAAAATCCATGCCCATTTTCAGACATGGCCTTTAGGCAGAAATTATGCTATCACTACTTAGATTAGAGCGGAAACAAAAAAATTTCTTCAAAACCATTTCGAATTCGCATATTTCTCTTTAATTTCTTTTTACTCATTTGGAATACCGTAAAATTCCGAAAATAAGCCCCGGGGCTTATATTTTTCAAAGGCCCTTTTTGAGGGGCTTATTTTTGGAGGGGCTTATATTCGGAGGGGCTTATGTACGGAGGGAAATTTGCGTTTCAAAATCGATGAGGCTAGCCTATAGTTGGAAGGAAATTAACCGTTTTTGCTTTGTTTTACTGTGTATTTGAGGGCAATTTCCAAGTACAAGCCCCCCAGAGGTCTTATATTCGGAGGGGCGATTTAACGGAGGGTTTTATGCGTTAGGAATTTGGAGGGCTTATATTTGGAAGGGCTTATACAAGGAGGGGCTTACTTTCGGAATTTTACGGTATATAATTGAAACGATAAATACGTTCATCCACCCCGTAGTTCCCTCGAAAACCATACCCGATTCCAGACCAAAATGGGCAAAGTGTATACCCGTTTTCAGACCAAATCGGCGCAAAAACCCTACCCGATGGGTTAGGGAATACCCCCCGGGTCTCCCAGACGGGATGAAGAGGTTGAGTTGAGTGAGTGAGTGAGTAGTAAACAGTCAGAGAATTGAATACGAATTTAAATGTGATTTGTGCGATGCCAAAAAGTATGACAATATATCTCCTTTTACTAAAAGAATTAAATTGGCTCCCAGTAGAAAAATTAATCTATCTTAGAAGTGTCACTCTGGCATTTAAATGTATGACGGGCTAAGCACCGGATTATCTTACGTCTAAATTGAAAACATCATCAGTGGGCGAGAAACTAGAAACTAACAACTGAATCGCTACATATTCCCGGCTTAAATCGGCGAGTGACCAGAGAAGCTTCTTTTACAGAACAGTTAAGATATGGAACTCATTGGACAATGAATTAAAACTAAGCAAATATGTTTCAAGCTTCAAACGAAAGTTCAAAAGTAAGCTACTTTGCTCGGTATAGAACTTTATAAACGATGTTTCTTGTGTTTAATTTACGTATGATATTATATAGTGATTAAGTTTTAGCTCTTAGATAATTTTACCAATCCACTTTTTATATATTTTCTGTACCCCAATTTGTTTTTAATTATACTTTTTGTAATTATCTTTGAAAAACCTTGTCTAAGGAAAGATAATAAAGGGTGTATGTTAATGTATGTGTCAGTGTCTGCTCTCACTCTTTATTTGATTGACATATTTCTATTTTCACGCGTGAAGGGGCTATGTTACTAGGACATTGCTGTTTTTAAGGTCAAATCTGTGCTGAAATCACTACTTAGTGCTTTTAATCATACGCAAAATGCTTCTGCAGATTTATAAAGAAGATATGAAACAGATTTTCCTCAAGGAGCCCTAACAATTATAATTATCTGGTGAATTTTCCATGCACACCATTAAAACTTGCAAAAGTTGGGCCAGCTTTTTCAAGTTTCAGTCCATATCCATCCTTGCAATCCGTTGCAAGAGACGACAGGGAACAGTTTCAGTATCGAAGTATAGCAGGCTTGAATAACAAAACTAGACCATTATGTTTGGGACTCAATTTATGTAAAAAAAGGTTTGGCTTTTTAAAAAAAAACAGGAAATAGTGACGTAGCTCCTTTAAATTTACCTGCCCTTTTTCAGACTCTCATCTATCATACAAACCATGTTAATTTTGTATTGATTTTGACCCTGATGACACAAACATCTAAACCTCAATTTTTTTTATATCGTTGATTTTTGTTTCAAAATGTACCTCCTAATTGATGCTTATCAAAAGCAAGGTTTCGACGGGAAAAAAGCCTAACTGAAAAGCACTTCGGACAAACAAGCATATCCGTCGACTTGAGCCTTAAAATCGTCTTCAGAAGTACTGACAAATGCTCTTTTATCTCGATTTTTGCTCTTATTTTGAAGCTACTGGTCCAAATAACTTTAACGTTCTCTGTAAAATGCTTCTGCCGTCGAAATTTAAGAAATTAGCGTTTCTTCTCGCCAAAACAGCCGCTAAAACAGTCAAAACAACGGAAAAAATTTGTCGCTAGATGACATCATCGAGGACACCATTTGATACATACCAGGGCGGACACATACCGTAAAATTCCGAAAATGAGCCCCGGGGCTTATATTTTTCAAAGGCCCTTTTTGAGGGGATTTATATTCGGAGGGGCTTATCTACGGGGGAAAAATTAGGCTAGCCTTATAGTTGGAAGGAAATTTCCCTTTTTTGCTTTGTTTTAGTTTGTATTTGAGGGCAATTTCCAAGTAAAAGCCCCCCGGGGGACTTATATTTGGAGGGGCGATTTAACAGAGGGTTTTTTGCGTTACGAGTTTGGGCGGCTATATTTGGAGGGGTTTATACATGGAGGGGCTTATTTTCGGAATTTTACGGTACTTATCTGTCCATATCTGTCCGTCCTCACACTCAACGGTAACAATCGAGTACTGTGGTTAGTTAGTCACATTTTCCTGCTAGCAGAGGTCTCTCACGACGAGGCAAAAATGAGAGAAAGGAGAGAGACTCTCTTTCTCTCTCTCCTTTCTCTCATTTTTGCCTCGTCATAAGAAAGCTCTGCTAGCAGGGAAAGTCACATGCGCTGTTGACTCAACATTCTGACTGCCCACATGGCACATTAGATCTGTCGATGAGCACTGATACTAGCAGCATACCAGTTACTATTTTAAAAGCTATAAAACATGCTATACCTACACCTCTAGAAATTATATTCAATGCTTCCTTTTCTACCGGAATTGTCCCAGATTTATGTAAAATAGCTTAAGTTACCCCCGTTTTTATAAAGGGCCTACTATTTTTTGATCGGTTTTGAAGGACTTTATTATTAGGAACTGTAACGGCGAACTCAAAATCCTTCAAAATCGCTCAAAAAAACAGCTTTTGAGGCAAAAGGACGACAACATACCACAGGTAACTGAGGTAATTCAACGTTTATTTAACATGGATTTATATACATACTTAGCGATATATCGCTATAGGTGAAATAAACGGTATTTCCAGTACATTTACCAAAGATAACAATCGGTTACACACAGAGACTGCGTGCGTTCCCTGTGGCAGAACTATGCAGCCGGGATACGTGGGAACTATCTCGAATCTTCAGGTTGTTTTGAATACCCAAAAAATCCCTACTTAAATCAAGTTACCAAAAAAGAAATACTTTCCCACATTTTCCTACCCCCAAAAATCCCGAGATCAAAAATTTCAAACCCTCCAAAAATCCCGAGATCATTCCTGTCACTTGAAATCCGGAGTAACCCCCTCCCCTCTTTCTCTGGGCCCTATGGTTATGTGGTTATTGCAGGCAGCTAGTTCTCTCATTTTACTTTCAATATTTTCTTTGTCTTAAGTTTTTTTTGAGCAAGAGTGAGCTCAAATAATAAAGATTGTAAGTTGTTATTGTTGTTGATGACCTTAGATATATCGTAATTTTTCTTTGAGGATCGTTACTAGTTCTCATTTTTCTTCACAGTATCGGTGCTTCCTAACATTACCTACAACGCCACGGAACCTGGCAGTGGAGGTTTGCATTCCATACCACCAAATATTCAAATCGGAGTCACCATATTCGCGGTATTGATTTTTATCATTGCGCTGATCGGTAACATTTTGGTAATTTATATCGTCTGTACGGTAAACCACATGCGCAGCTCAACCAACACGCTCGTCGCCAACATGGCCGTTGCTGATCTGTTGATGACTATAGACATACCGTACTTACTTAAATTTTTCTACGTCCATGATAAATGGTTTGGAACCTTCATTGGCACCGTGTTATGCAAGTTTTTTAGCTCTGCTCAAGTGGGATCTATAATAGCCTCAGTGTTTAGTTTAGTGGCAATTTCTCTCGATCGAAGTTTTGCTATCTTGTTTCCGATGAAGACGGTTATGACTAAGAACGCTGTACGTTTTGCGATCGCTGTGGTCTGGCTAGGAGCGCTGGCTTTCTCACTTCCAGTCATGGTGGCATCTAAAACTGTGCAATTTAATGGTACGGATTTTTTGGATTGCGCAGAGTTCTGGGCGCCAATGTCAGCATCCACTTACAGCCTAGTTCTTATTATAGGTGGGTACATCATTCCACTGATAATCATTGGTGTTGTCTACAGTTTAGCGGGAATACGTCTCTGGAGTAGACAACTTCCTGGCCATAAAAATGTGATCTCAAACAAAAAAGCACAGTCGTCCAGCAGGCGTGCGACAGCTATGTTGATAACTGTCATTATTGTCTTCGCCCTCTCTTGGCTGCCTTTTCAAGCTTTCGAGATGCTTAGTGGATACAACAGGCCAATGTATTACTCGCTTCCTTTTGAATTGCGGCTCATCACACCGTGGCTTGCTTTCGCTAACAGTGCCATTAACCCAATTCTCTATGTGATATTCTCTGAGAATTATCGAAAGGAGTTCTACCGAATTCTTTGTAGAGGACCGAGTAGGAAGGACTGCAACAGGAAGGCAGTTATTGAAGGTGTACGTGCACAAAGGGAACAGCCTAAACGCAGTGAACGTCACTATAAATCGACTCATTCGATTCAATGTTTGCCTGCTGATATACCTCAGAATTTCGACTCCCGCGAAAGTGGGTTGCCTGCCAATAAACAGAGGGCCCTTGATTCAAGTGAACGTTCTTTGGCAGTTGACACGGCGCCGACTTGCGAGTCCACTAAAAGTCGTTTGGCTTCAAATATACCACTGACTGGCGATTCCTCTGAGCAGCCCAGCTCCTTGGGTCTTGATAAGCCATTGACCGCAAAGTCTCCTGAAGTCTCATTACCAGTTTTGGAAATTCCAGTGATCCATGTGTGTCGTGGAAATTCTCTGACTGATAATAAATCAGTGACCTGTGAGTCTCTGAAAGAGTCGTTGGCTGCCAATTTACCGCTGACCGTTCATAAGTCTCCTGTAAGCGCGTTAACAGCCAACATATCGCCAACTTGTGATAGCCATCAAAGGGTATTGACTGTGGAGCTGACGCCTTCTACTAAATCCTGTCGATGCTATACAGTTACAAATATGCCTGTCGATGAGGTCTGTGTAAATATGGAGAACAATAAACTTTAATCAACTTGCCGATAGCCTGGATGATATAAAAAAAAGCACAGTCGTCCAGTGGTAGGACGATGTCTATGCCGATAATTGTGGTTAATTTGTTAGTTTCCTTTTCAAGTTTATGCTTCATAAATACAATGAGCCACTGTTTCCCTTGCTGCCCAGTGAAGTACTATATTTACTAAGCCTTGGCTTTTGCTACGCTAAAAGTGTCATTATATATCTCAGTTCCTTATGTAACATTCTCAGATGTAATTACCTTCAGGGCCCAGTTGTTCGAACGCCGGTTAGCTCTAACCCAGGGTTAAACATTATCGAGGGCTAATCTAATTGGCAGTGACTTGTCATCCTTTGTTATCAAATGGTTGAAGAGCTACTTGGTGATGCCAATGTCTTACGATGTTTCCTGGATAATGTCCTGGGGCCGTTGCTTCTCACAGTTTTTGTCAATGACTTGACTTGAATTCTACAGTGCTAATCCACGCGGGATGTTATGTTGGTGACTTTAAACTATGTCCTTCAGGGTCGAAATGGCATGGCTGACATGAATGACGACCTTTTTAGCTTAATTGGACTAAATGGCATTTAGAGAAGAGAACGTGAAGAAAATTAGGCTAATTTTCTAACGCAGATTTAGATTTTCGTCATAACCTTTTGGGACCTAAGCATGGCATTTCATAGCAACCACATATTCAATAAGCCTTACTGTGAAAACAGCCGTTTCTCCACGCTCCTGGCCGCTTAGGACGTTTCCCCAGAAAAAACGTGTGCGCCTCAGCGAAAAAAATTCCATAATGATGACTCTAAATCTGTCGGGAATCTGGTCAGAAGCTGTGATTGGTCGATGTAGCATTTATATTGTTTTAGCTATTGTTTGCAATTAATTAACAAAAGACAAAAGGCGACCCAGGTCAAATGTAACGGCGATAAATCTATAACAAAACGATTAATATTCGTTGAATATGTTCTTCTCTAGAAGAAGCATGCATTTGACTTTTGCTGGAGCTCGTTCGCAGATGAACACAAAACTTTACCAAAAACGACCAGGAGAAACATAAAATCGAGAGAATCTGGATTTGGAACCCTATGAAAACCGGATTAATTATGTAAACATTGATTTACGTCATCAATATGGAATTAGGGAGCTTAGGCAACAACGACGGCGAAAGTGAATTCACGCTACTTCAAACTTTATCGCGCTCATTTCAACTCGTTCAATTCGTCAAATGTTGGCAAATTTTTCTGGAGTTGAATTCTAAAAGACTCTACGGAAAGTTCAGGAAAAGAAAAAGAAAGTCGTAATCTTGTGTTCACGTCCTCTACACAACGAGAAATTAGTCACTTTCACGTTGTAGTCGTGCAGCGACGGCAAATAATTGTACAAAATAGAGTGATGCACGTGCAAAGTTGTTGTTGTTTTGCCAATCTAAACCTCTTGTTTTTTTGCCGTTCTCGTTGCCGTCGCCGTCGTGGTTGCTTAAGCTCCCTACTTCTGTTGCTAAGACGCAGACTTCTCTCCTAGGGAAATGTCCCTTGCGGAGAGGAGCGTGGAGAAACGGCTGTTTTCGCAGGCTTACATTCAATCGGCACAAAATTAAAACTGTCTTTTTGCATGTGTATCTTAGCTAGGGTAGGAAAGCTGAGTACATTGTGTCTTAAAGCCTTGTTGATTACATTGTTGGTTTATGTACGTAGAAAAGGATGAAATGATATCAATTCAACATCCTCTCGTCAGAAGTTCCTTTTTTCACGAGTCTTATTAAACAAATCCTAGAATTAGGTCAGAGGACTGGTTGGACGTTAAAAGACGGTTAATGTTAAAATAGGAAAACAAATAGTCAAAAATCTTCCATGGCTTATTTTACAAAAAGATGATAATTTTTCATGATCCTCTTTAAAACAAATAGAGTATTGCCCATGGAAAACTGTTGCCTGATATATTAAATAGAATACTGAACAATATCCACACTGCAACGCAGTAGGTAACCAGCAATCAGCAGTTTAATGATCCAATACAATACAAGAAATACCAGCGGTTAAGGCAGAGTCAAATCGATATTGTTGTGAAGTTGTGAAAATATAAGAGCTTGAGTCATGATTAAAGTTGTTTATCGCTTTGTGGCAGTTTGATCAACAATTGAACAACAACAACAACAAAAATTTAGTGGCTTTGGAGGCTAAAGTTTTACTAGAGTCAGTAAGACTCGATGTAAGGATAAACAGGGGTTAGGTTTGTAAATATACATGAAACTAAAAATTGTTATTGAATGAATGTAATGAAAGATAATGAATGATACGATTGACAAAAGGCGTAATCTATTATTATTGACAACTTCGTCCTCAGGGAGTTTCCAAGGAAACTGGGAGGGGCACCCCTGTGAGGATGGGGCTATATACATAGGCTCGATTACCAGCCCCTGTTAAGGAAATGAGCCAGCGCTTCACGAGACCGAACCCTAAAGAGCGGCGGGAATCCAGCCTACAGACATTCGCACACTTTAGAAACGAGAGGGAGACTGAGCCGTGTTGGCTTTCGCAAAGACTTCTGCGACTGTAACTAGGTACAGGGAAAAAAAATTGAAACAGGCATTGATGGCCAATTATCGTGAGGACGAAATAACTTTAATTGCTATCATTTTGGAATACGTTGCATTGGATTTTTTCAACAGATTTATGGATGTCGCCTTAGCAAAATGGGTACGGACTACAGCTTAAAAATAATTGCAAATCCATTTGATTGAAAAAAAAAATCGATTGTGTATTATTTGCTATTATATATAAAACGTTTCCTCTATGTTTAAAAAAGTGGACAAGAAAAATTCAAACTACGGTGATTTTATAAAAAATCACCTACCCAGTGCTGTTGGAATTTCAATACACAATTAATTTTATAAATATAAGCCTATCCTAAACGTCGAACTTTTCATGAGACGAACCAAACTTAGTAAGTTATAAGTTAATGAAAGGTTGGACGTCTGGCTCAGTTAAGTTCGTCTGAATGAGTTTGGATGGTCCAGCCACTGAGTATTCGGATGTTCTTAGTTGTTCTTCCACGAATTTGATCAGTTCCTCTTCTCTGATCCCGACAAACCAGCTTGTCTCCATTTTATAATTAATTTAAAACTTAACTTCGACTCGTGAAAACTGCGAAAGGAACAAACGACGGAAAACCACAAGTGCGTGACAGCACGGGAAAATACTGTGAGCTGATTGGTCAAAAATGATATCACACATGTGTAGATATAAATGATATCACCACTGGTGGGTTAGCGCATTTATCTTTTTGCTACCACTTGGTATACCGCTATCTTCTATTCAATGTAGTACTATTATGTGGATCTTGGAGGATGTTATCTTCCTCACACTCAGCCTCATCCTGTAGTTGTTTCACTTGTTTGTTTAAGAAACCGACGAGCATCACGTGGGTTTTTTTAATGCATTGACTTTAATAGTCTCAAGAATAATTGTCGGAGACTTTTGGTGACATTTTTCCTACACCACCTGCACGCATTCTGTAAAGTAAACGGATGGGTCTTGTCCATTATTAGTGCGCGCTTTTTAGATCAGGTAAAGACCAACAACACAGTTTTTATTTCAAACTGTCGTTGGCGCATTAGCATGTTGAGGGCCGGGGAATCTGAGATAGAATATTCCAGGTTCTTGTTTCAGCATAATATATATTTTTCAGATAAAATTTACAGACGAATGTATGGTAAATGAAAAATACAATCGTGNCTGTAAAGTAAACGGATGGGTCTTTTCCATTATTAGTGCGCGCTTTTTAGATCAGGTAAAGACCAACAACACAGTTTTTATTTCAAACTGACGTTGGCGCATTAGCATGTTGAGGGCCGGGGAATCTGAGATAGAATATTCCAGGTTCTTGTTTCAGCATAATATATATTTTTCAGATAAAATTTACAGACGAATGTATGGTAAATGAAAAATACAATCGTGCTAGTTCTCGCGTAAATTAAATTGGTCTCCCCAATATTTACAAAGCTCTATCCTAGTTTTTAAACTCAGGTAATCTTTAGTCTTTCCACAAGCAAAAATCGATATCAACAAACTGAGATGCAAAGGGGCCAATGAGTAATTAACAAAAAAGCTAAAACTTTTATGAATTGACTTTAATCTTTTGTTGTATTTTTCAATCTCTGATCATTTTATCTAGCCTCAATTAGATATGTCAATTTATCCAGTGAGCAATAAAAACCTTATCATTTACCTTATTATTTTTTCAATTCATACTTTTCCTAGAAGATTTCATTCGGCCTTCGGTCTCATGAGCTATTGACTCAGAGCCCATTCGGGCTCTAGGAATAATTGTTAAATAGCCTGTTCCAGGCGTTCAGATAGTGGAGTGCGGCGCGAAGTCAGAGAGCGGGAAAAAAAAAGGTGGAAGAGAAGGAGATAGGCTCTCACCCCTACCCACTCCCCCACTGTTTTTCCTGCTCACATCTTTTTGTGCTGTACCCACAATCTGAATGGCTGGAACAGGCTAAATAGCAAACATAGCTGATCTTCGATGGTTAGGGTATTTCCAACCTGAATTTTAATATCGCTATTCTCGACTGGGTTACTTCGTAAAAATAGTGTTTAGTATTTAGTTTTTGTGGGAACGCGAATTCTGCATACTGAGTGCTCTGTGGAAACATCTGCTAGAAATATAATATTTCACTCCCGTATTTCTTTACTTCCAAGCTAAAGATTTCAATTACCCTTGCTTTTAAAAATCTCCTGACTTTCTCCTTTTTGAAATGACAGACGCAAGTAAGCGTTCTGTAAACAATTTGACGGAGGCTGCTATTTCCTAGAGGGTATTTTTAAAAGCCGTTCATGTTTTTCGAAATGCCCTTCAGTCGACAGGATTCATGTATAAAAAAATTTATATATCACCACTCCTGGAACTGTCACGCTAATTCTGAATGATTTGAACTGGTCAACACTCGAGAAAAGAAGGAAAGTGGCACTACACACAATGATGTTCAAAGTAGTTTCTGGTCTATCAG